TTTGCCTTACGGAGTTAATTCACCACTAAGTGAGTGAAGGTGCGTCTTTAACACCTTCGCACAATATGGCTGGAGTCAATTCTCCATCTGCCGGCCGTTGTCGCTGATATGCATCAAGCTGAGAACGCCTTTGAAGGTTAATATGCATTAAAGCTCAAAGGGAACTATTTGTTCAGCAATTTGTATGTTGTTAGCCTAAAAGCATAATTGCCAGAGTCATTTCTAATTTATTGTCACAGTAACCATAAAAAATACCAACATGCTCATTGGGGGAGGGGGTGGAGAGGTTGTCGGTCATCCAGATCGAAGGTTGAATCGAAGCAGCTGGACGAAGGACGAAAAAATGTTTGTTCCGTTCTCCTATCAGGCTACCAATGTTTTTTAATCTTCTTAAATACTGGCAAAATTTGAATTATAAGTACATTTAGTACGCTGGAAATTTCACAACCACAATTCAACATGTTGAGAGTATTAAATATTCTGCACTGACATTGGGAAATTACCAGTTCAACCATTGCGATGTTTGGTGTTTCAGTCTAGGTGCCACAATAAAATCCAGAGGTTGCATTTGGGGCCAAAATGTCAGACTGAAATTCATTTTGTGGGTGAGAATATTGCAGGCCGCAGGCAAGAAATGAGACTGTGGCAACGAACAAAAGTCATTGATGAAATCCCATCATCCTCTTGTGTGTGCCCGCCAAAAAGCGAGGCAGGGAAAAGTGAGGATTTGTAAGTCTTTCACTTCCCATTGTCTCAAATCGGGCGGCCTCTAGTTTGTATTTTGGATTAATATCATGCCAGCCTGTCTTCTAATATTGTCAACATTTCAATTACAAGAGCTGTATGAAAAGTGGGCTTTCACAAAAACAACAATGCACACTTTTGATGGACATTTGTCAGCGGTATGAACGAAACGATATGCTTATTGTTGCGGTTGTCATTTTTAGCACTGTAATAGTGCGCTGTATCATACTGTGAGCTAATAGTCTCACACACACACACACACACACACACACACACACACACACACACACACACACACACACAAAAATAAAAAAATTCAAGTGACTGAAAAATGGACTGTACCATTTTATGGGACAAAAAAAATTAGTTGGGTTAACAAGCTTAAAGTTTTCCACATAGTTGTTCCAAATGTACTGCTAGCTAACATCACGTTGAGGTTAGCTTCGTTGTGCTAACATCAATTCTTTAGCTTGTGTGTGTGTTGAGTGAGTCTGGGCCGTGGAGGCAAATGTATCATTTTAGATCTGTTGCTGTTCTCACACACATTAAAAAAATAAATAAAATCCAGTAGTACAGATACTTTATATTTTTGGCTATTACTTCAGAGAAAGAGGTGGGTACATGACATGGTTATTAAGCATATTTTTGTTTCACTTATTTTGACAGTTCAGGTCATTCTGTTTTGTTTTTTTTAAGTATGTCAAAATTAGGAAATGTATTATATATATTTTTTTATCAAATATAAATTATTACAACTGATGACAAAATAATGTTTCAAAGTGTAAAACCTTTTGGTTGACTAAAACTGGACCAAAACCATCGCACACAGAGATGACTAAAATGTGGTACAGACTAACACGCATAACTAAAACTGCAACAACACTGCATAGAATTAATCATCGTTTTAGGACATTACGCAACAACGCCGAGACACTTTATGGCACTTTGGCGTCACTGTCGTAACATTTCGCAGAATACGGCAAACGGCCAGTCTCATTCAAACGTATCTAATGGCGAGTGATATTTTGAATCATTGGTTTATATTTGTTCCTTTAATTTTCCATTACATGACAATAGTGGCACTAAAATGTTCGACCACCACTGCCTTTTTAAAAAATCGGATTAATTGGAATGTCAGTTCTAAGTATATATTCGCAATGTACAGTATTAAGAGGCTAAATATGAAGTAATGACTCCAACCTAACATATTATATCATGATTATATGTGGCCAGTACCACTTCTTCCAGAGAGGCTTTTGTCACACCGGCTACTGTTATTTTCATCCCCGTCATTTTCAAAATTGCCTCACAAACTTCATTCCGATGTTTTTCAATTAACCATTGTTGTGATTGTATACCTTTTCCAGAAATGTCTTTCTTCTGATGGTCTCAAATGACCCAAGAGCTTAGGTGTTACAGCACCACCTGTTGCTTTGGCATACACTTGACAGCCTGCAAATGTGTTTTATTGTAGAAACAAAACACGCTAGTTTTTTTTGTTGTTGTTGTTATTGTTGGATCCCTCGGTGTGACATGTTTTTAGCACATTCTGCTGTGTGTCTTGTCGTCAACCGAGTGTGGAGGGGGGTGGGGCGCGGACAAAAAACAAAACGGTGGAGGTCGGAAGACACAAAACAGAAGGCCGCGGCCGGGCGGCTCTGTGGAAGCGCCGCTAATGGCGGCACGCACGTGGGAGTGTTTAATGGCGAGTGGAGTCATTTGCGCTTTTTAATGATGATTAGAGGAGGAAATTGGATCAGATTTACAGTGTCACTCTACGTTTAGACCAAGGAGGGAGGATATAGAATAAGGGCTCTAAATTGTGTGTGCGCGTGTGTGCGCTACCGTGCGCGCGCTCGTATGAGGCCGACAGACAGGCATGCCACCCCCCCCCAAGTCAGCCCCCCACCCACAGCACCCATCCACCCACACACCTCCACTCGCAGAGGAAATGTATCACTTAAAGCGACTGCAGCTCAGCTCGCACAACCTAATGAATCCGCACTCAATTTTACGCCTAGCTGCCCTTCCAACTGACACACACGCACACACACGCAGACACACACGTATGCACACGCACACACACTCAAATAACTTTAGCGGCTTGGTCTTTATAACGTGAATGGGAAATTGGAAAAGTTGTGATTTTGGGGGCTGGTTTTTCGTCTTCGCATCAACAGTTTAGTGTCTTAACTCACCTTTTGGAATTGTCGCTTCAGTTTTTTTTTTTGGTTTTTTTTTTACCCCTTTCTAAAATCTCCCTATGTGTCACACATTTTTGTTGCAGTCTTTGCTCATTTAAAAGTGCGGTTAACATTACAACTATGGCATGCTCACCTTATCACACCTCCGAGGAAATAAGAATTCAACTTTTGCTGCATGTCAAAAATAAAAATAGAATTTGAATTTCGTTCCTGTCATTTTGCCCAAATGACATTTCCATCCGATCCAGTTGGACAATTTTTGGCCTCTGTGCTTCCAGATTCGTGTTCTTTAAAAATAAATAAATAAATAAATACAATAACACATTTTCTTCTACTGACTTCTCAAACAACTACAACTTTATTTTTCTAAATATGTTGGAATTAGCATTTCAAATTATGAAAATGAGCTTCATTTAATGACTTACAAGTATTTCAATTATTGACCTATAAAGGGATAAAGAAAAGAAAGTATTTCAATTATTCAATAGTAAGTAAGCATCATTTTATGGTTAAAAACGTTTTACAATGTCCAACTTCAAGTTTGGCATCCACCCTCGAGACAAACAAACACCTGCAATGAATGCAAACCTTATAATGACTAAGTTGTGCTAACACAAAACAAATCGTCTCGAGAAAAAATTCCCATAATAGCCGCAAAGGTGTACTTTCTGGCCATCGGGTGGCTTCTCGTTGCGGCGTCATCCAACGTTCTAGTGGCGGCTGTGACCAATGTGAAAGACGCCGAGAAGCAATTGACATTCTCGACAACAATCGCAACTGAATTTTAGAGGCCAGCTCTTCAGTTTTGTGCCAACAGGCTTTTCAGAGTGAAAAGCGGCTTCAAACTGTCAAAACAAAACAAGTGCGACATCACTCAAACACCTCCGATCGTTTCTGACAACAATGAAGCTGATTCGACACGGCCGCATAAAGTGCAAACCTTTTCCCATGGACATTATATTGATTTTATTCAGCAGCTGTTCGGCTCTCAGAAATACACCTTGGTCAAGCTAACACCCTTTTCCATGAATTGACTGCAAGTCAACAATCTTAAGCGCTAGCTGAAGCGCTGCGTAAGCTAGCTGACAGGATGGACAATGGCAGCATGTCTGCCCTGACATCTTGTGCTAATCTTAGCGTTCCACTAGCATGTAGTGGACCTTCGCTTAGCAATGTTATTCAGTTAGCAAGTTGACTGTGTACTCTTTAAAAAAAAAATACATTTTGATTTTTCTGGAAGATTTTTACTGGTATTGATACTTGATTGTGACAGGGTGGACATGTGAATCTTGACAACATCCAACTACACACACAGCATGAACAAAATTACCAAAACACAAAGTGTAAATATTTATTCTGTAATTAGCCACTCTTTCATCCTCCAATGAAAAACAAAAGACATCATTCTTTTTGCGATGTCTCCGGGAATATCAGAGGGTTCCTTAAAGTCGCATAAGCCCATAACGGCAGGGTGGACTACATTTTCAGGGACACATGCAAAGTGTTCAAGATGATTATGAAAATTGCTTGTTTTCATATATACCTTTTTTTTGACAGTAAAACCATAAAAATGTTGATTCGGCACCATTTAACCACTTATTACACGCATTAGAGTCAGCAGTGCAGTGACTTGGTGGACAAATGCCAAAATAACTTCTAAAAATGTTGATTCGGCACCATTTAACCACTTATTACACGCATTAGAGTCAGCAGTGCAGTTGGTGGACAAATGCCAAAATAACTTTACATCCATTGGGGGAAAAAAGATATTTTTTTTCTATGTGTGTGCAAATGTTTGACCAATAATAACACCTCAGAGTCTCATTTTCCTGCTATGATTTCACACTTTGTAATTGTGATGGGGACACCAACGGCACTTCATTGTGATATTAACCCTTTTATTCTCCCTGTCACCTGATAACATGATAAGCTGTCCACTGTAGTAACCGCTGTCCCTCAAAGGGTTAAGAAGTGTAAATTTACCCTAATTGTGACATATTTTCCTCTTCCTTCTACATCTATCTGCTGATTTGTATTTTATTTTTTTTCCAGTTCCTGATGGCAGTTTCACGTCACCTCTTGACCTCTTCACACCCAAGTGCCTCAATATGGACGGCATGGTGCCATTGCAAGCACAGTCTTGGAGGTTAACACAAGAGTACATCACCGTGTAAGTTACCATGTTCCTATATTATTATGGTAATGCAAATTCTCCCACTGTGGCACTAACAAAGGATAATAATTGTATCCGGTGTTACGACATGACAAAGTGGGCGTTGAAAGCCACATGCACAGGCAAAGCTCAAAAGTGCCCCCCAGCAGCTGTTTACTTCCACGAATGGATACAGAGTCACCTAAATCAAATAAAGCATGTGTACGGACGCGTTTGTACATTGGGTAAAACACAACAGGCGCACAACGATGACTGATGGCCCTTTTTTTTTCACTGCGCGCTATCCACATGCCTCCGCATTTCTATTAGCAAAAGTAGTATACATTAATACACATTATTAAACACGTATGCTCGTCCAGATTCATTCATTCATTATTCAGTAGCTCAATCAGTGGCTCTCAGTTTACACTGGGTACCACATCAAAAAAATACTTAGCTCACCACGTACCGTTATAATGACCGACATTACCATACAGTAGCATAGTAGGCCCAAGTGTTCAACCTCACAGTGCAGAGGTACCGGGTTCAATTCCAGCTCCCGCCTGTCTGTGTGGAGTTTGCAGCATGTTCTCCTTGGGCCTGTGTGGGTTTTCTCTGGGTACTCTGGTTTCCTCCCACATTCCAAAAACACGCATGACAAGCTGATTGAACGCTCTAAATTGTCCCTCGGTGTGAGTGCAAGCGTAGATGGTTGTTCGTCTGTGTATGCCCTGTGATTGGCTGGCGACCGGTTCAGGGTGTCCCCCGCCCACTGCCCGAAGGCAGCTGGGATATCCCCCCGCCCCCGACCCTTGTAAGGATAAGCGATTGGAAAATGGATGGATGAATGATTGACTTGGAAACGAACAAGTGTGAGCATATCAATAAAGTTACACCTCCTCTTGGCGCTTAAGACCATTTAAATGTGCTCTTGAGTCATTTGTAGTTCTTTTCGCTCACACATAGGAAATCCGATTTTAAAATACGTGTGTGTGTGTGTGTGTGTGTGTGTGTGTGTGTGTGTGTGTGTGTGTGTGTGTGTGTGTGTGTGAACATTGTCCGAAAAGACGCACAACACGCTCGCTCGCATGCACACAAACGCGGAGAGCGTGCCAGCTGTTTGACGATCCCGTCCCGGCTGACCATGTGCTCTTGTTGCTTCCTGATGTCTCCATCAGCCTCACTTCACTGACTCATCGCACATCTTGTCTTTTCCTCACAGCCTCACTCCCTCCTCCACTCACATCAATAGCGGCTGATATCATTTGCAAGCACACATGCGCGCACACACACATACACACACACACACACTTCCTAGAATCCACACAATAATTGAAATATTTTCAAC